AAGCATTTGATGAGACAGTCACGTCAGGGACTACAATTCAGGAAGAGTTGAAATGCTTTTCTTTTGAGATGTCTAGGTGGACACAAATCATACTCGAACTTGAAAATTGGCGACATTGTTCAATACTCAACTTTGAGGGAACAAGTGTTGCAATGGGATTGGACATTGATCGAGTCCGAGGTGCCAAAGGAAAAGGTAAGAAGTGCAAAAATGACCATCAGAAAGGCAAAGGTAAAGATGCTAAGGGCAAAGGAAAGAAAGGAAAAGGAGATCAGAAAGGAAAGGAAGGTGATCACAAGGGCAACAGTAAAGGCAAAGACCAAAAAGGCAAAGGTGTGGCAACATGTTACACCTGTGAAAAGCCAGAATATCTTTCTAAAGACTGGAAGAACCATATTCGACAGGTAGCAAGTGGTCAGATTGATTCTGAATGGAGGCTTTGTAGAGAGAGAAACACCAAATACACAAACTATTCTCAGCTATGACATCTTGAGTGAGCTTAGCCAGAAGGAGTTTGGAGGCTATGCAAGCTACAGAAGGATGGTATGAGGGACACAGAGTAATGCTAGAGGCAGCCAATGAAGGAGCAAACCGATCAGGAGGACCGAACAGAACATTCAGAGTGGGAAGCAGAGAAATGTCAATGAGATCAGAGTATATAGGATGCAGGCAGTACGGATGTGTGGTAGATTCCAAACCAAAATTGAAGAGTTGAGAACACAACATTGGAACCTACTAGAAGTAGGAGATCAAATTACACCGTAGACCCCAAACAGTTTGTGTTTTTCAATATCGAAACTAGAGCTTGGACAAAGGATTGCAAGGCAGAGGCGGCCACAGCAGCCCAGAGCTGGGAGACAAGTGTAAAGGGTTGCAAGGTAGAGACGGACACAGCCGTACAGAGCAGGCGGACACATCTTAAGAAAAGAATTGAGAAGCCCTGACAGTAAACCTTTTGGGGAATTATTCAAGTGCGAACATGATGCTGGTCATGCTGCTCAGTCAGCACAATCAGCGGGAAGTTGACCACGTGAGGGCAAGAAATAAAAGCATGAGGAGCGAAGGATGTGACATGAAATTGATTTTTGGTGCCTGACGTATGCCCTCCGCCCCAACTGAACAGAGAGATCGCTGCCACGCCGCCGAAATCCAATCCGGTCATTCATCCAACGCTTGCCCGAAAAGGAAAACAAAGAGAGAGTTACACAGTGTGGCAGGAATGCAATCCCGGAGACAGTCACGCACCCCTTTCAAAGGAGCAAGAACCTTTCACAGGTGAACCTGTTCCAGCGGACAGGGCAGAAAACACCAGTGCAGGCACCAAACCTGAAAGACAAAAAGAAAGAAATCACATGGGAGACAAATGAATAGAAATGCTACATGGCCAAAAGGGCGGCAGCAGCAGTGACAGATGTGGCAGACAAATGAATAGAAATGCTACATGGCCAGCAGAAAAGGGCGGACACCAGCAATACAGAAGGGACAACCCAGATGTTGATCCAGCAGAAGTACTCTTCAGGAACCCAATTCCTCGAAGAAATGAATAAGCCTGCAGAGAAACTAGAATTGAATGGAAGAACATGGGTTATGGTGGCAAAGTGAGCCCAAAGAAGCATCTTAGAGTTCTACAGCGCCAAGAAGGAGTGCGAACCATTTTCCATGTAGACTACAACCTAAATGCATATCATTACTGACACCACAACATGTACAGCTGACCTCACTGCAGCCCCTTTTGGGCATCAGGAAAAAGTGCGTAATTATACACACAGTATACTAGTATACAGTATACATGTATTTAAAAGAAGAAGTGTGTTTCATGCTCTCCTGCCTGCACGAAGGCCGCACACTTCATTGAACGCCGCCTGGCCGATCGGCGCAGCATCCGAGCCCGGCCCAGCGAGAGTCTGCGACCGCGCGCAGTGATGAAAGCCAGTGCAACGAGACCAAAGCATGGGACCCAGAGATACATGGGGCCAAAATAGCCAAAGTATGAGCATCCATAAGCCATTAAGCAATGTGTCCTTTGCTAACTGGAATCGTCAATTCTCCAGTGGCTAAACCAGCTGCTTTCATTGTCATAAGTGTAGCATGTACTTTTTCGGGTTGGGAAGGACCATGAGGGTAAATTCCGCCAAAACCATGGCTCGCGCCTCAGAACCGCTGCTGAGATTGTGCCCCAGAGGACCGCCTGAAGGGCGACCGACCGCGGTACGGAACTCGCAACACGAACAAGAAGCGAGGCCATCGCTAGTAGGTTGGAACTCATTATTGCTATTAGTAACAAGAAGCAGCTAAGGGCCTTACTACTAGGAGCAAGGACGCTACTAGGGGCTCCTGGCATCGCTACTAGGATCATTCTTACTACTGGTAACAAGAAGCGACTAGGGGCTCCTGGCCTCA